CCAGGGTAATTTACGGATCTGTATAGGATGGATTCGTTATTTTCTTTATTTTCAGGTAATAAAATTTTACTTATGTCAGAGTTTATTTGTATTTTTGTATGTTTAGTAAGTAGATCTATGAATTGAAGTGGAAAATTATTGTTATGTGCGATGTTCTTAATTATTTGTATTTCTTGGTTTTTGTAGTTGTCTGTCAATGGTATTTCTTGTATGCGATGTATATATGAGTTGAAGGCAGCATGTTTGTGTACATGGTGGTGAAAGGAGTCTGCAGGTATTACTGTATCTGATTGAGTAGGTTTCCTATACGATATGTTGTATTCAATCTTATTTCCAACTTTTTTCAGAGTAAGATCTAAGAAATTGATGGATTCATTCTTTTCAATCGATTGTTAATCCCTTAGACCTGTTTCAGACACAACGATATTTGCCGTACGGAACGTATCGGTTTTTAATCGTGAATGGTCGGTGGTAAACTAATAATGTAAATGCGCCCATTCAGACTAAAAATCTAAATTATAGTACCTGCTTTTAATAAAGAACTCCTCTTCTCTGATTTCTCAGCCATTATTTTGTCTCCACAAAAATCGCGTGTTCGTAAAAAAATCAAAATTTGTCATATGAAACGAGTTTTACTAAACTAAATATACAGGGTGTACAAAAAGTATGGAATAATGGTTCTACAGCCTAAACTTCAACTTATATTAAAAAAAGTTTTAAATAAATGTAACTTGAAACTATTTTGAGGTGGGCGGAGCTTATACCGACTCCAAACAATAGACAACCTAAGCCTTGACGTCACAGAGATGGGCGGAACTTATACCGATTCCAAACATTTTCGTTGCTAACTGTGTTGCTAACGGTAAATCACCATATGCAATTTTTCATTAGAGTTAAAATAAAATAAACTAAGTGATGACATTTCAAATGACATTTTTTGGCGATTTATCGTTAGCAACGAAATTGTTTGGAGTCGGTATAAGCTCCACCCATCCCTGTGACGTCAAGGCTTAGGTTGTCTATTCCATAATGACACCATAATAGACTGCCTAAGTCACTTAGTTTATTTTATTTAAACACTAATGAAAAATTGCATATGGTGATTTACCGGTGATGTTTGGAGTCGGTATAAGCTCCGCCCATTTCTATGACGTCAAGGCTTTGGTTGTCTATTTGGTTGTCGCTATATCAAACCTTTTTAAATAAAAGTTTCAATATCTCGAAAACTATGCAGTTTAAAGCATTAAAACCTTATGGCATTTTGTAAAAAGGAATCCAAAAACCTTAAAATATACAGGATGTTCCATTTAAAAAACACACTCACCATGTCGTAACTCAGACTGCCGTCATTATTTTTATTTTATTTCTACACCAAGATATGCGGAAAATAGTTTCAAGTAACTTTTGTTTAAAACTTTTTTTTATATAAGTTGAAGTTTATGCTGTAGAACCATTATTCCATACTTTTTCTATACTTTTTGTACAGCCTGTATATTATTAAAAACGAGTTATTATTGGTTGCAAAAAACTACGAAATTTTGTATATAGATAAGTTGCGTTAAATCATTATATTTTTGGTTAAGGTACTTGTGGTCTTGCGTTGTACACGTTATTTTGGGACAGCCTGTATAAATGTTCTGATATGGAGGGGCATGGGTATGTTTCGGAACCTTCATTAGGAAATTTAGGTGTAAGTTGTTAATTTTAAGTAATTATTGAATTAAAAATTATATGTTTAGCATAACACATCATATAACAGGTGGATCTTTATCATTGTTGGAAACTGAATTAGATATAACTTTGAAAAGGAAGATGAATCCTTAAAACAGAAAAAAAATTCAATAAAATTTTGTATATTATTTATTTTTCAATTTTAATTTTTTCCATTAAATTATTACTTTAAGTTCTAAATTAAATTATTAATTATTTTATATTTACAGTTACCGATTTTGTGATCTCTCTATTTTTCTATAAAGTAATACAAAAAAAAATTAGTCATCATTTTTTTTATCATTTTGAAATTTTTCAAACATAACTTCATCAAACCGCCTCATTCTTCTCTCCATATTTTTCTTCCTATAGTCTTCATATTCCTTATCAGCCCTTAATTGTGCGATATAACACCTGATGACATCGCAGGAATCATAAAGCGTTTTAAAATATTTAGAGGTAAACTCTTTGAATTCCTCGGTTAATTCCACTTCTTCAGTTGTGTTGCTTTTCTTGGCGGTATCTTCTTCTAATTCTTTATATTCATTGCGAATTGCAATCACCTTTTTTTCCCATTCCGCCAACTCTGCAATGACGTTATCGCTGTAACCCAGCGGAAGATCCTTTCTTAAGTCATAAAATCGTTGAAATTCTGTAATCAAAAAACAAGTAAATAAATCGAAATAGATTTATAATAACCATAATAATAATAAAAATAGTCTTTCATAATAATTACAGTACCTGCTTTTAATAAAGAACTCCTTCTCTCAGGTTTCTCAGCCATCGTTTTGTCTTCACAAAAATCACGTGGTCGTAGAAGAATGAAAATTTTTCATATGAAACGAGTTTTATTAAATTAAATATAATATATTCTTATTAAAAACGAGTTTTTGTATTGTGTGTATTATTGGTTGCCTATATAAAGGAATAAAATATATAAATCGAGTGACAGGAAAAGTCACTAACAATAAGTACAAAATAGTATATTATTCAACAAGCGTATAATGGTGGCTATTACCCACGAAGAAGAAGTTGCAACACGAGCGAGCGAAGCGAGCGAGTGTTGTAATCTGAGTGGGTAACATCCATTATACGCAAGTTGAATACTATACTTTATCTACAACTATTTAATTTTGAAAAAAAAAGGAAAAAAAAATAAACTTGATAGACATTTCAGACATAACCTCAATATAAGAAAGCTGTCATTTCTATTAATATTTTATTTTTTGATTAGTAGGCCGTGTCAGAACTGTGGAATAATGGCTTCATTATTCAATACTTTGTCAGTCATGGGTAATGCGTGTCATTACCCGTCAAAAATCAATTGTATAACGAATAGATAATTCAATAGTTGTAGATAAAATAATAAAATCGACATTTTACTACTAACAATAAGTACATTATCCTTTAATCATTGTGGGTATGATGTCCACAATATACATAATAATAATATAATTTATTTTGTTAATAAAATTATATTTTAACAACACTTGTGATTTGTAACATTATTTGTGATAATAATAAATTGATTAATAATAATTTGTATTGATTGATAATACTTTGAATTGATGAATGAATTAATTTGAAAGGACTGATAGATTGATAATAATAATTTTATGTGATAACGTGGTTTTGTTTGTACATGTCGTGTACACAGCATGTTACAGCCATGCTACCCGTCCTGTAAAGATTAATAAAAAGAGGAATATGATGGTCAAAAAAAAATTTATATTTAAAAATTGAAAGTAACCGTTTTTTTAATTTTCATGTTACGAGAATCGATTATCTCGCTGTGGTGACATCCCAGTAAACAAGAAACATCTGTAAAACATTTCAATTTTAACCTACAGTGAATTAAATGAAACATCTTAGAACTACGTTTCATATAAGTGACAGATACGATTTTTACGAAACGTATCTAAAGATAATATGTATCAAATTCATTTCACTAGAAATATTTATAAAATATCATTAAAATATGTAGCAGAAACATTTCATTTGAAACATTTCTTTAAAAATGTGTCTGTAACATGTCTGGAATATCTTCATCAGCGCTTGTGAACATAGGTATATGATATACTGACATATACCTATGTGCCAAGCCGCGGTGATGCGTCAGCGTCATGGGGGTGGATCTATGGGGGGGATCTCTAATGAATGAAAATGTAACCGTCGTCAGCGCCATCCGATGTCACCGTCGATAACTAATTCCACTCAAATTCTAATACCAACCTTTAAGGTGGCTTATATTTCATTTATTTTTTTTGGTATTCATCTTTGATTAATTAAGTCAAAGTGATCAAAAGTGATGTCAAATATAAATGATATTGATAAATCAATTAATTTTTTTAATAAGTGTAATTTTATAATTATGTGTAAAAAAACATTTAAAAATTTTTGAATAATAAAAATGTCGGTTATTAAACCTTGCTGTGTAACATCTTTAGTGCTTACAAGCAACCCAATAAACCCCTCATTGAGGAGGATATAAAATCAATCTTCAATACTAACCGCCAAATTCTGATGTTGGGTGACATAAACAGTAAGAACACAGCTTGGGGATGTAGAACTAATAACCAAGCGGGAATTAAACTATTAAATTTGTCCTCAATATACAACTTCATGGTGCACGCACCTAATACATACACATACTATCCACATAGAAATGATTACCAACCCGACATTCTAGACGTCGCATTGACTAAAAATTTCAATAAATTAATAAATCAAGAAGTGGTGGTAGATTTGGATTCAGATCACCTTCCTGTGATTTTATCGTTCAAAACCTCACCGTGTCTTACCAAAAATAACAACAAACTAGTAACTAACTGGCTTTTGTTTAAAGGCGCACTTGAGAATACCTTCAATAATAACGACTACAGTCTAAATACCCAAAAGTCAATTGACCAAAGTGTACAGCGTCTCACAGAAACAATCAATATTTGTATAAAACAATCATCATTCCCCAAATGTAAACCGCAGTTTGATAATTATCTCCCGCCATCAAAAATCCAATCTCTTATAAACCAGAAAAACAGCCTGCGACGTGAATGGCAAATGACGAGAAACCCTGCAACCAAGTCAATTGTAAATCGATTAACACGACAAATAAGAAAGGAACTTGATGCGTATCGCATAAAATCTTTTCAACAATATTTAAACAACATACAACCCAATAGTCACGAAATATGGAAAGCAACAAGAAGAATCACGAGAAAATCTAATGAAATATCAACTTTAAATATTGATAATGGACACTTAGTAACTGATCAACAGAAAAGTACTGGTTTTGCAGAATATCTGGAGAAAATATTCAGACCCCACATCTTCAGCACCCCAAATTTCACAACTTCTGTGATATCATATAACGAAAACCATAATCCGGTATTGAACAGTAACTTTCAAAAAGTCACAATAAATGAAATTCGACAGATTATTAAAAATCTGAAAACTAAGAAAGCTCCAGGACCTGATCAAATTCCTAACTTGACCATAAAAAATCTACCGGAAACAGTAGTGCAGTTTTTGAAGAGATTACTCAATGCCTGTCTGGAACAAGGTTATTTTCCAAACTGTTGGAAACACGCCCATGTACTTATGTTTCTAAAGCCAGGGAAGCCCAAGAGCAACATCACCAGCTACCGACCGATTAGTCTATTATCTACATTATCCAAAATCTTAGAAAAAGTAATTAATTACCGCCTATGTGAAGCATTAAACGAAATGAATGTGATTCCACACTTCCAATTTGGTTTTAGAAACCAGTTCTCGACCAGTCATCAATTACAACGATTATCGAACATAATTGAAAACGGATTTGAAATGAAGCAATACTCGACCGCCTTATTTCTCGATATTGCCCAAGCTTTCGACCGTGTATGGATCAACGGATTAATTTATAAAATATTACACCTGGATCTTGACAGCAATATCAAGCAAATACTAATATCCTTCCTTAAAAACCGATCCTTCTCTGTTAAAATTCATGAATCCCTCTCCGAAACAAAAAATATACTCGCTGGTGTACCTCAAGGCAGCGTCCTCTCTCCCACCCTGTTCAACATCTACATGAGTGATATGCCACAACCAAATGTTCACATGCTGGCATATGCGGACGATACAGCCTTAATAGCGCAAAGCTTTGAACTCGAGGATGCGACTAAAAATCTGCAAATAGCTATAAACACCCTAGTTAAATGGTTCAAGTCTTGGAATATAGCAATAAATACATCCAAGTGCATCGCTAAAATTTTTACACTCAAACGAATTAAAAGCTCACCGGAATTAACAATTAACGGAGAAACTATTAGATGGAACGACTCGGACGAACCGGTTAAATATCTTGGCATATTCCTTGACACAAGATTAACTTGGAAATACCATATACTCCAAAAAGTTAATCAAGGTTACGGAAAGTTGAAACAACTGTATCCCTTGATAAACAGGAGAACAAGACTTAAATGCGAAAACACTATTCTAATTTATAAAACACTCATTCGACCACTCATTACCTATGCCTGCGTTGTCTGGGGAAACTCGGCTAAAACAAATCTTAATAAGGTTCAGGTTTTACAAAACAAAATACTACGCATAGCAGTAGACTCCGAGTGGTATATCTCTAATGATCAACTACACAACGAATTAAAAATTGATAGTATCACAGCCTTTATATCTAAAATGACTTCCCGGTTTCACGAACGCATACAATACACAGAAGTACTACAGCCATACAACCTCAGCAAAAAGAACATCCACTGTCGTCTTAAAAGGAAACTACCACAAGACATCTACTTGATTTAAAATACGTTAAATGTTACCATCCAATTTGACTTATGTTTATTATTTTGTAAGTGACGAGGTCCTTTTAGTTATGTAACGTGACATTTATTTAGTATAAGAAAAAGCCTTTTATAGTAATGTTAATTCACTGGTCTGGCAATAAAACTACTTAAAAAAAAAAAACCTTGCTGTGTACCATCTTGCAATTATAAAGACATTTAAAGGTAAATTATAAAAATTATTAATTAATACGGCATATTTACTTTCATTCTGTATTTCTAGATATTATTTCCCGACCAACCTTATTATTCGAATGGCTTGGCTCTCTCGAATAAACAATTCAAAATTATTTGAATTAATTACTAAGCGTCTAAGTAACTATTGTGTTTGCGCCAAACATTTTGCGCCAATGTGCAAATATGTTGAGGAGAAATTGAAAAAGCTTCCTACATTATACTTACTAGGTAAATAAAATTTTACATAAAAAGTTTGTTTTTTAATCTATACAATATATATTTCTTATATCATCTAGATTTGTAAGAAGAAACTATAAATAATTGCTTTTTGTCTCCACAAGATCAACCAACAGAAGATACTTCAGGTATGTTACATGGTACGAAATTAATTATTTAGTTTCATAATTCATAATTATATAATTCAATATATACCATATTATATGTTCATACCCCGACATGCCATATATATATTTATACCCCGACATATTTATGCCCCGACAAACTTCCTGGTGTAACTAGTTCAACTGTTATGCAAGTCTATCCTGTATGTAGTAAACAACAAGGTTACGAAGTCACTTCAATATCATTTAGTGAGCAAAATTCTGTCATTTCATTAGAAATGAATAGGCAACGGCTTCACCTACGTAATGAAAAAGAAATAATTGGTAAATATCATAAAAACTGAATAATCATTCTTATTTAAAATTATCTTTAATTTTTGTAGACAAGAAACGGAGGAAATTACCTTTTACAAAGAACTGCAGCAATTGCAACCTAACTGGAGTAAAAAAGCATTGTGTCGCGCTAAGAAAAATGCCAGAACAATAAGGCAAAAGCTAATACAATTGAGGAAAAATCCTCAGGTATTGGTGAATCTCAAATATTTGAATAAAGAAACTGGAAATTTCTTTAGCAGCCAGTCCCGAAATCAGAAAAAAGAAGTGCTGGCTCTTTCCATTTACAAACAAAGTGGTAAAGGATACCGTTTCTTATCAAATTTCTTTTCATTACCATCCAGGAAGACGCTACAAAAACTGTTAGGGTAAACAAAATGTAACATTATTCTATTTATTGAACTAAAACTAGAACTAATAGTAGCACTATCACTAGAACTAACACTAGCTAGAAATTTTCGAAGTGATTTCGAGTCGTCTTCGATAGTGCTACTATTAGTTCTAGTTTAATTACACCGGCCGTGAAAGCCTTCGTACTTATATTCTATTTATGTTACCAAATTTTATTAGTTTTGTGAATAATAAATTATTATGTTGAAATTAGATCTTTCATTTAAAATATATTTATTTCCTTTTTTCAAAGCAATATTAATTGTGTTATTTTTAAATTTGGCGGTTAAAGTTAGCCCCAACGATCTGGCAACGTCGCTCGCTTCGCTTCGATGCGCAGCGAACANAGAACCGAAATGTCAGCTCCAGTGTCAATTAAAAAATTTAGGTTATTTTGATTGTCAAAAATGAAAAGTCGCGAACTGACAGAATTTACCGTAAATTGAGGTTGACTTTTTGTCAAAATTTTGAATTTGGAAAAATTTTGTTTTTCTTTTGAAACCTTTATTAGTTTTTTGATGTCGATGGAAAATTTTTGTTTTTGTCGGTGAAGGAATTATAAAATTTGCAATATGTTCCTCCACATTTAACCGCGTTGTCTCCAAATTTACGGTGATACCAACAAATAGTCGAATAACTCGTAGAATTAGATCTATTCCGCGAGTGACGTGACGAAGAACGATGTCTATCTCGAGAATTGTGAAAACAATTACAATTACAATTCTTCGACGTATTTGTTGGTATGTTTTGAAATTGGGTAGTCAAAGAATTTATTTGATTTTCCAAATTTTTTGTCCTGTTGTCCTGTTGTTGTTGTTGTTGTGTAATGGTAGTCACTAGTGCTTGACACGTTAACGTCAGATTTTGGATTGTTGTTAGTAATTCGTCGTGTGGTGGTGTTTTTGTGGTGCGATGTTTTTGAACTTCCGAGAGGTGTGTTGAGGTCGACGTCAAATTCATTGATTCCCACACCTTGTCGGCAATGGAAAGAATGTCCACAACGTCCTCTTTGCCAGAAGCGAGGAGTACAACCGAAACAACACAAGGTAGTCTCCTTTGCCACAATTTTAATAATAAATTTGGACTAACCACCTGAGAACCACCAACCGTGGTCAACATCGCTAGATAAAAATCTGACGGTTTTTGATCTCCCATTTGCGAACCTAATAGAACATCGTTACGTTTTTCTTCACTCAATGATAACCTGTCGATTAACAATTTTTTGAGTGAAGAATATGGATTCGTGTTTGGAGGGTTCTGTATGAGGTCTACCACGGTGGAGATGATCTCAGTGGGTAAATTTGCCAAAAGAACGTTAAATTTTGCTTTTTTACTGCTAATTCTAGTTAAAGTAAACTGTGCTTCAACTTGCCGAAACCAAATGTCGGGATTAGAAGGCCAAAATGGTGGTAATTTCAATTTTGAAATATTTTGCAATTCGTGCGCGGTATTGTCATCATCAGCAGGGTCTATCATTTTTAATAAAAAATTGACTAAAAAATACGTTTAGGTTTTCTATTAAAATAAATAAAAATTTTTTTATGCATTTGATTCTGATGACACTGATGACTCCGAGTTTCTTGACAAAAACTATGTTCCATCGTCTTCAGACTCTGAAAGTGATAAAAGCCGCTCCAACGACGAAGATGATTGCATGGAATACATAGAAAATGATAATGTCGTTTTAGATGAAATACCAGTAAAAAATTGTATGCAAAATGAAGAGGAATGGCATAATATAACTAAAGATAACGGTTACATGTACCAAAGGCAAGAATCGTCTACACTAAATTTTGATATCACTACGATAAAAAATCCTATACACGTGTACCAGTTATTTNTACAAAAACTGTTAGGGTAAACAAAATGTAACATTATTCTATTTATTGAACTAAAACTAGAACTAATAGTAGCACTATCACTAGAACTAACACTAGCTAGAAACTTTCGAAGTGATTTCGAGTCGTCTTCGATAGTGCTACTATTTGTTCTAGTTTAATTAACACCGGCCGTGAAAGCATTCGTACTTATATTCTATTTATGTTATCAAATTTTATTAATTTTATGAATAATAAATTATTATGTTGAAGTTAGATCTTTCATTTGAAGTATATTTATTTCCTTTTTTCATTTTTTTTTAGTTAACCCCAACGATCTGACAACGTCGCTCGCTTCGCTTCGATGCGCAGCGAACAATGTTGCCAGATCGTTGGTTAGCCCAGTTTTACACCATTATCCTAGTCGAAGTTGGTTTTAATCTATGGTTAGTACTCTACGGTGACATCGGATGGCGCTGTACGCAAGGTACAATTTAATAAGGTAGAGTTAGGCCAAGGTTTATATATTAAAGGTTGTCTAAGTTCCTATGCTGCAATACTTTGATTTTAGTTTGTGGGCGAGGGGCAAGAGCAGGAGTGTTTCCTGACGTAAGCGATCACGGATTGCGCACGTAACCTCATGGCCATGTGGTGCTCCATGCCTTTGTTTAATTTGAATTGCTTGGCGGTATTATTTTCCACATGTGACGTTATGCGCAGTATGATTGCGTACGAACCTAGACAACCTCTTATATATAAACCTTGGAGTTAGGCCATCTCTATCCTTCCTTGTCTCTGGATTGTTGTTAGTAATTAGTCGTGTGGTGGTGTTGTTGTGGTGCGATGTTTTTGAACTTCCGAGAGGTGTGTTAAGGTCGACGTCAAATTCATTGATTTCCACACCTTGTCGGCAATGGAAAGAATGTCCACAACGTCCTCTTTGCCAGAAGCGAGGAGTGCAACCGAAACAACACGAGGTAGTCTCCTTTGCCACAATTTTAATAATAAATTTGGACTAACCACCTGAGAACCACCAACCGTGGTCAACATCGCTCGATAAAAATCTGACGGTTTTTGATCTCCCATTTGCGAACCTAACAGAACATCGTCCAGCCGTTTTTCTTCACTCAATGATAACCTGTCGATTAACAATTTTTTGAGTGAAGAATATGGATTTATGTCTGGAGGGTTCTGTATGAGATCTACCACGGTAGAGATGATCTCAGTGGGTAAATTTGCCAAAAGAATGTTAAATTTTGTTTTTTCACTGCTAATTCTAGTTAGAGTAAACTGTGCTTCAACTTGTCGAAACCAAATATCGGGATTAGAAGGCCAAAATGGTGGTAATTTCAGTTTTGAAATATTTTGCAATTCGTGTGCGGTATTGTCACCATCAGCAGGGTCAATCATTTTTAATAAAAAATTGTCTAGAAAATACGTTTAGGTTTTCTATTAAAGTAAAGTAATTTTTTNTTAACAAAAAAAACGGTTAACAGTGATAAGAACAAAAGTAGTATGTGTGTTACTGGACAGGAAAAAAATGTTGATACCGTTGATTATCCTACCCAGTCTGAAACACCTAGTTCGTCGAAAAACATTACAGCTAATAAACCATTAAATGATGCTATTAGTGATGACGAAAATGATTCTGATATTGATGCATTTGATTCTGATGACACTGATGACTCCGAGTTTCTTGACAAAAACTATGTTCCACCGTCTTCAGACTCTGAAAGTGATGAAAACCGCTTCAACGACGAAGATGATTGCATGGAATATACGGAAAATGATAATGTCGTTTTAGATGAAATACCAGTAAAAAATTGTATGCAAAATGAAGAGGAATGGCATAATATAACTGAAGATAACGGTTACATGTACCAAAGGCAAGAATCGTCTACACTAAATTTTGATATCACTACGATAAAAAATCCTATACACGTGTACCAGTTATTTTTATCAGACGATATAGTAAAAACTATTGTTGAAGAAACAAACAGATATGCACGTCAAATATTGATAAATCCGAACTCCTCAAAATCTCGACTAAATCTATGGGTTGATTGCGACGAAGCAGAAATAAAACGATATTTTTCAATTATCTTGGTAATGGGGCTGAACGTTCTTCCTGCTTTGAATCTCTATTGGTCAAAGGATTCTATGTTCCGTAACGACTTTATTTCTAACATTATGTCCCGGGACAGATTTCTCTTGTTAATGCGATGCATACATTTTTGCAATAACGACACTGCTGATAAAAATGATCGACTATATAAAATACGAAGTCTATTAGAAGCAGCAAATAAAAATTTCAAACAAGTCTTAACACCAGGTAGGGTGATAGTTATTGATGAAAGCATGATTCCTTTTCAAGGCAGGCTGTGTTTTCGACAATATATTCCGAACAAAACACATCCTTACGGAATCAAATTGTATAAATTATGTACCGTGGATGGATAATATAATTGTCTATACCGGCAAAAACATAACATCACCAGAGTTAAGACATCCTGAACAAATAGTACACGACCTTTTAGAATGTCTTGAAGATAAACGTGGACATTATCTATATGCTGACAATTTCTACTCCAGCTTGGGTTTAGCAAAGTCGATATTCAATCATAATGTAATTTACTGTGGGACCATAAGGTCAAACAGAAAATATATACCCAAAAGTTTCCATAGCAAAATGAAAAAAGGAGATATTTATGGTGCACAGAACGGTCCTCTAAGAATTATTAAATGGATGGATAAGCGACCTGTTCTTATTCTGAGCACAGATCCAACACATACCCCAACCTGTATACCCACTGGTAAGCGAATCAGGCAAGGTGATGATATCATTAAACCAAAAGCAGTTATTCAATACAACAAAGCCAAAAAGGGGGTCGATTTGAGCGACCAAATGTCGTCATACCACTCAGTGTTACGCCGAAGTTTGAAATGGTACAGAAAGCTGGCGTTCGAGATTTTATTTGGAACGTTAGTAAATTCATGGATTATACATAATAAAATTAGTTCTTCAAAACAGTCTATTAAAGAGTTTAGAAGAAGACTTGCGCAAGACTTGTGCGGTCAGGCGCATTTTCTTTTGTGTTTCGTTTACCTTCCTCCCACTGCCGACGAGGCTCTGGATGTGTTTTTGTCCAGTGTGTCTACCGTGCGTGATACCTATACAGATTTAATGATTATTATTGTGGGTGTCTTATATTATGCGCTAATGGACGCGTTGAGAGCATCCAGCCCTGCATGGATCCACTTGTGGATCCCGACAGTCACCATCCACCCTTTGAATTTTTTGTACCACGTATCGCAACTTATTTGAATGATGGGTCTAAAATTAGCCGTCTCTTTAATAAGTCTAATTCTGGAAATATAAGAAATTTCTTGAATAGGATTGAATGGCGGTCTGTCTTTGCAGGGATGAACGTAGAGAGCATGGTAGAGAGCATATGAGCGCGTTAATTATATAATTAATAAAGATGTTCCTATGCGCGCCTTACCCAGAGGACGCTTTCCTCATTGGTACAAACGCTCTACCATTAGAGTTGTTAAAGAGAAGCTACGTTTTCACAAAAAATGGAAATCCTCAGGTCATCACAATGATTACTTGACTTTCGCTATCTTACGATCTAAATCAAAGAGATTAATAGCTATTGATCACAGAGCATATCTGAATTCCGTTCAGGCGGGGGTGTCCGGGAACCCGAGTGAGATCTGGTCCTTCATTAATTCGAAAAAGGGTTCTGCGTCTGGCATGCCAGCATCCATGATTTCTGCTGATGGATCGACTGTGAACTCGGGTCCTGATATCTCATCTGCGTTCGGAGAGTACTTCTCGTCGGTTTTTGTAGATGGCACCATCGATCGTTCAGCGATTCCCGGTGGCACCTTGGTTTGCTGTGGATGCGGTTTTTAACATTCTATCACACCTTGACAAGTCATCTAGCCCAGGTCCAGATGGTATTCCTTCGTCCTTCCTAAAGGAGTTTGCTAGTGAACTGTCTTCACCCCTGTTTTTAATTTTTTCGAAGTCATTACTTGAAGGGGCATTTCCGAGCAAGTGGAAGACGGCTTTCGTCGTCCCAATTTTTAAATCCGGCGACAAGCAGTTGGTTTCAAATTACCGCCCGATTTCTATTCTCTCGGCTATTCCCAAGGTTTTTGAGAAAATTGTCCAGGAATACTTTAGCCAGTCGATTACTCACTCTTTTATTCATGAACAACACGGTTTCTTGCCCGGACGATCGACTGAGACTAATTTGGTATCCTACGTTAATTTTATTCATTCTGCCCTAAATGAAAACTCTCAAGTCGATGCTATTTACACAGATTATTCTAAAGCTTTCGACAAGATTGACCATACAATTCTTGTTCAAAAACTCTCTTCCTTTAACATCCCAAATGGCATTGTTCACTGGATTATATCATATTTATCAGATAGAAGTCAGGCAGTCAAGGTTGGTAGCTTTCTATCCGGTTATAAGTCCATCTCTTCCGGTGTGCCTCAAGGCAGCCATCTTGGACCAACATTATTTTTAATTTATATTAATGATATTGCTTCCTGCTTTAAGTTTTCCAAATTCCTGCTGTATGCAGATGATAATAAAATATTTACAAATATAACATCAAGGCTCGACTGTCTGCGGCTTCAGGAAGACCTTGACCGTTTGCATGACTACTGTCTCGTCAACAAACTTCATCTCAATTACGACAAATGTCAAAAAATTACGTTTACATGGAAACGATATCCGGTTAACTTTTATTACAGTTTTAACGGCAGAGCTATTGCGTCCACTGACAGAGTGAAGGATCTTGGTATTACTCTTGATTCCAAACTGCGATTCCACTTTCATATTGACCTTATGGTGAAAAAAGCATTACGTAACTTGGGGTTCGTTATCAGAATAAGCAGAAATTTCACCAATGTTACCTGTATAAAGTCCCTTTATATGGCATTTGTAAACAGTGTATTAAGCTATGGTTCTGTGGTGTGGAGTCCCATGTACGCCGTCTATCGTGATCGCATCGAAGCCATTCAACGTCGCTTTATTCGTCACTTGGCGTATAAATATTATCTTCCGTACTGCGATTACGACAGACGCTGTACGGTTTTCAACCTATTGCCTCTAAGGCAACGGCGGCTCTTGTCTGACCTGGTATTTCTTTTCAAAATTGTTAACGGCATGCTGGATGTCCCCGATCTTCTATCCGAGCTGAATTTTAATATTCCACAGCGCTTCACCCGGAATAATATCACTTTTCGTTTGCGCACATCTAATACGAATACTTATTCTAATTCGCCAATCATACGGGTTCTTAATACTTACAACCAGAGCTTCAACCATGTTTCTCTATTTGGGCTGTCATTGCGTTCGTTTAAAGATTTCGTGTTGCGCGATATTGTTTAGTTGCGAACCACTTTAATTCTGTATTAACTTTGTAAAAACATTGTAACTACTTTTCTTTATATTTAAATTTCTTGCTTGTGTTTCTAAGTGTATTGTCTCTTTATGAAATATAATGTTAATTTCGATATTTTGTGAGGATGCTTCACTGGGGATGTTCTCCCTGTTTGCGTCCCAAATTGTAATAAATAAAATAAATAAAATAAAGAGTTATTTTTCCTCCTCACGAAACCGGGCAGAAGACACCGCAAAGAGTTTCGCACACATTTGTAAAGCCATCAGGGCCAGGGAAAAAAAGAAGAAGACAGTAGTCAAGGTTGCTACGACAATCTGAGGGAAACGCATTCTAGCAGAGAAGCAAGTAATTTGGTAACTAAAGTAACAACTTATTGTAATGATTGCCCTGGACAACCAGGAATGTGTTTATCATGT